TTTTTTTTTTTTTTTTTTTTTGACGAGTGCATGATTTCACCACTTACAAATATTGTCGGGCACAGATAACACGTACACTGAAAACTTGAAATCACGGATGGCTCCCACAATATGCCCCTCCCGACTGATATCTCTCCAATGTTTCGCTGTATTGGTCTGCCCGTATTAAGGAAGAGTCAAACCCATTTGTCAATCTCTAATGTGTTAGAGTTATCCGTGCCGGGCTGTACCTTTCAACTTCTGCTTGTCACAGCCAGGTAAAAAAAGGGAATAAAAGAACGGAATACAGTGGAACCTGCTCTCTTTGCCACCTATATGAGACAATGAAATTCCCTTACAAACAGCCACGTCCCGGTTCCCCCTTGCGTTCTTTTTAAACATGATAATGGCACTGTGTTAGACGTCCACCAGTCTAAGAAAAACACTTGTCCCCGACAATGGGTGAACCAACTCATACTTTCTTTACGTATGGCAAAGTTATCACAGTCCTTTACCCCTGTTTGTAGACCAGCCGCACTTTCTTCATTGATTATTGTAACCAATAATTTATTTACATTGGCACACACTTCTTTTCTCTCCGCAGAGCGGTTGGCAATCTGCAACCTTCGTCCACCTCCTAACATAGAGAATCGACACCTCCACTATCTTAAAACTCTACATGAGTAAAATGCAAACTGCTTTGATGACTTCGACAATTCCACGACAGAGCCCAACACGGCTGGACTTTGAAGGAACTTCGTACTCTTTGCGCTGCTCCGTCGATGCATAGTCCATGAGTCTGTTGTTTCCTGACGCTCGAGTCTGTTATGCTGCTTCCAATGGAGTTTCCTGATTGATTTATTGCTCTGTATATTATTACAAGGCAATCATTTGTTTCCATGCATGCGTTTGTTGCATAACTTTCAAATTTTACACAGTTCACGACATTATTTCCTGCGCCCATAGACATACATCCCGATCGTTTATTTCACACCCCGTCAAATGTATTCCTTGGCTCTGCATCTGTCAAATTGTTGGTTATTTAGAATTAACGGTTGTTCCTCAAGTGCTGTTAACATTGTTGGAGACTGTTTCACAGATTTTTTGCTTCTTTTTTTAAAACCTTTTTTTCTGATCGCACTATCACAATAACCACTGGATTCGTGTGAATGATAGTAGTACTCAATAGGCGGAAACTTTGCATTTCTGGCAGACATGGGACAGAAACCACAACAACGCGTCGCTGTGAATTAGACGTCATGTGGAGTCGCTTTGAAATCTAGTGATGCTCCCACTGAACGGGTACAAGACCTAAACATAATGTTTTAACACTTAAACATTACGTCTGTGCAATGCAGATTATAATACGTTTGTGAATGTCAGTGATATGGTTGTGTTAGCTTCTCCCCCTGGATCAGGGCGCGTTTTTCTTCTAATAATTGCTCGAAAGGAGTCAGCAACGGCAAAACTGGACATTGTCCGGGGG